CGTAGATAGATACGTAAGTATTTTTAAAAAATCTCTAATAATGTTAAATGAATTAAATATAAATGACGAATATATTGGATAATATTTTTATTTTGTTTTAATTTCTTTTCTTGAATTGTTAATTTGTAACGAATCGATGAATATGATTTGTTGGAAGAAAGAACGATTTTTAATTGACAAAAAGAAAAAAAGAAAATAAAGAAGTGTACTTTTCAATCGTAACAATAAATTTTATTAACGCGAAGTCTAATTTATATGAATGATATTATATTATAAATATTATTATTATATGTAAATATAGTTATTATAAATTTATGTATAACAATATAATATTATATTATATAAATTTATTTATAATTATATTATTCATTTTATTGTAAACGTTGTGTTTTAATTTTATTGAAAAAAAAATTTTTTCTTATTAGAGATATTTCACATATATATGTAGGTTTCTTTTTCTTTTTTTAATGACTTATTTCATAAAAATAAATTCCTACAATAATTTTCATAGTTTTGTATTTTTTATTGTAATATTATAATTAGTATATTAGTAATTCTGTTATAATACGGAATTGTAACGTTGTCTTCCTTCCACTAACTCACCCACCCCAGCAATACAAACGTCAAATCATGATTTTATGGCTGACGTTATCCTATCTGTAATTTCACACTCGCACGTTCACAGTAGACGCATATCGGCATCCGGAGATTCCGTTTAAATGAGGATTGTTGATAAACCGACGATAGAAGTGAAAATGATTGCAGGAAATCCACTACTGACACACTGTTTCTCGGAAATATCAACGTTCATTATCGATCCAAAGTGAGATCACGTTTATAATTTACCACGTTAATGGCAACAATTTTAATAATAATCTTGACCAAATTGTTCACTTTGATATTACCTATTAGTCTCTTATCCCAAATCATAATTTTTTATCTTCCAAATTAAAAAAAAAAATATGTCTATAACAAAAATAACAGAAAAGAAAATCAAATAGAAAAGTGTATTTTCATTTAATAAACCACCCACCTATCCACCAGTTTAAAGAAGAAAATCAAATTGCAAAAACTGAATTGTGAAATAAATTAAAAACAAAAAAATCCCGACTTCTAATCTCCCCCCAAAGCCCCATCCCTAAGAAAAATAAACTTAGCTCTATTGCGAAGTTAGGTGTACGTAAAAACAAATCCTTTTCTTTTACACGCTAATTCAATTATTTTGCGCGTGCCTAAAATTACTTCCATAGTAAAAAGACCTTGATGAAACGTATAGATCACAACCACCATCACCACCACCACCACTACGACTACCCTTTACCTACCCTTTGGGTATCTTAACAAATCGGATTTTCTTGATCCTGTCGTAACGGTAAACACACACCGATCGTCCACTAGGTCATTAGGGATAGTAATAAGGGCAGGAGGTGGATTAAAGGGCAGTCTACTGAGCGGAACGCGAGATATAGAGAGATAAGGGGGAAGAGTACACTGTAAACGCAACGAGAGGGTTGCTCAAGAGAATACAACGTGTGTATGTAACGTCATCCAATGCTACCCTTCTTCATACCACCACATTACAAACCAACCAACCAACTCACCCTTATTCTCACTCATTCATTTACTTGCTATCTTTCTACGTTTAAATCAACGTCCCAAGATTAAACATATCCCAAAAGCCCCTTTCTACGAAATTCTTGATCATTTAATGATACATCCTTGCAAATATTGTTCAAAAAAAAAAAAAAAAAAGAAAAAAAGCAAAATATTTTCAACATCTAAGAATTCCCTCTTTCTCACACGTTTTTAATATAACCGTTCGATTTTCTAAATGAAACAAAAAAATAATCAAAAAATAAAAAACTGAACTAAAAACTAGAAAGTTACACACACATCCTTTCCCCCTCTCTCTTCTGTTTTTACTCTTCCGAGAGAAAAATCTCTTCTTTTCTTTTCTTGAAATTAAAAGACTACAAACAAAATAAAAGGAAAGTAGTACACCGACACACGACGACGACGACGACGACGACGACGACGATACCTTCGAGTAAGACCTTCCTTTGCTCTTTTTCTTTACGCACAGACGACGAGAGAGAAAAAAAGAAACGTATAGAAGGCTAAAGGATGAAAGGTGTACCATCCACACTCCCCCTAACCCTGTCTAAGGCTCGTATCTACGTACATACGAGATGGATAGGTCGTCGAGAAGAGAAACAGAGAGACAAAAAGTGAAAGAGAAAGAGAAAGAAACAGAAAGAAAGGGAGACAGACAGATAGAGTGATTTTCATTGCTAACGATACCGTTGGATAAACGGGGGAAACGAGGGGGGGGGAGGGGTATTTAGAAAAAAAAACACGAAAGCTCGTTGGAAAAGTTATTCACCCCGAATCGATCTCGGCGATTGTCGAGGGGTTCGATGAAAAGCCTGTAAGTAGTTAATTGGCCTACGCGGCAATGCACCTTACTCTCTCGCACCTCCCCCATCCACCTCCTTACTCTTCTTTCTTTCTTTCTTTCTTTCTCGTCAGTCAATAACTAATAATTAATCCGACCCGTTACGCCGTGCATTAATCAGCACCACATAAAACGGAAGAACCCGGCCTCGACGGCACACACACACACACACACACACACACACACACACACATATANACAAGAAGTAGAATTACGGAATATAGTAGTAGTAGTAGTAGTAGTAGTAGTAGTAGTAGTAGTAGTAGTAGTAGTAGTAGTAGTAGTGTAAAAAAATATAACTATAGCGCCAGATAAACTTACTACTACTACTACTACTACTACTACTACTACTACTACTACATACAGATTTATAAAATCCCTACTCTTTCTTTATTTTTCTTTTTTCTTCTTTTATCTTTATCTTTTTCTTCTTCTACTTCTACTTTTGGTTCCATCGATTTAACTCTTGCTAACGAGACATTCGGAAACATCCTGTCTTTTGTATCGATTCCTTGTTACCTCAATGAAAGATAAAATCACCGAGCTGTTCTACCTTTCTCTTTCTTTCTTTCCTTCTATCTCTTTTTTTTGGCTTTTCTTTCTACTTTATCCCCACTACTACTACTACTACTACTACTACTACTACTACCATCAATATTCTCCTCTCTACTCTTCTTTCACTCGAAAAAGAATCACGTAACAACCAGAAGAACACGTCAAACTCGTCCTCCTCGATACATTCGAGATTACATTCGTATTAACACAGCATTTTCATTTTCATTTTCATTTTCATTTTCACGTATATTTGTTTTTTTCTTTTTTTTTTACAATTTCTTGGATACAACTTTGTTAATCGATACTTCGTGTTATTTTGTTATAATATAACAACAATTAATTGAATCGAGTTAAGTATAAACGGATTAAAATTATTATTTTTTAATTTTATTTCAATAAAATTCAGTTATTTTTTGATATACGTTGAAGAAACAAAAAACATATCGTTACAATTATTTTATAAATAATAATTATATTTTTTTTTCAATCGTATTTTTTACTTTCTATAAGATGATAAATGAAATTCAATATGGGGTTGAGCCCGTTTTAATTATAATAGTCGTATTTCTTCGATTCTTCATTTCGAAAAAAAAAAGAACACAAAAAAAGATAAACCTTCAACGTAATTCACGTTAAAATATCGTTAATGAAGAGAAAAAAGTTTAATTACAATAATACACTTAAATAATCTTTTTTAAATACAGTTAAAGCTGAACAGTTTCCATAAAAAAAAATTGAACAATTTATCTCTCTTACCTACGGTCGATAAATTTGATCGAAAAAAGTAAAAAAACAAAACAAAAATGATAGAAATAGAAAATTTAAAAAAATAACAATTAACAACAACAACTTATTTAGAAAAGACGAGAAAAGCGAAAAATTAACAATAGATAAACCGGTATTTTATCGGTGAGTTGTTCCACTATAGTAGAATAGAAGAAAAAAAAAAGAAAAAAAAATGCTTACACAGCGTGAAATTTATCCGAGACGCTCTTCTCGTCAATTATTCATCGTCCGGAATCACGACAGAGCATCCAATCGAGACGGCCTTTGATCAAAGATACTCGAAGTTTCTGCACATTTCTCTCCTCTTCCTCTTTCTCTTTCTATCTTTATCTTTTCCCTTCCAATCTAAGCCCTTCCCCCACCCTTTTCCACCATTATTCTTTCTATTTCTTATCGATGCTTACAAGAAACGTTATTTTCTTTGGTTTCGTACCTTTTTAGTCGTTTTAAAAGAATATCGTTCGATTTAAACGCAATAAAAAAAAAATTTTATCTCTCTAATTAAATTTTATACTCGGTTGGAAAATAATCACATTTACACTAACATTTTGTGATCATAATTATGAAAGTGGTCGAAAAGTGAAAATTAAAAAAAAATGAGTTTGTTAGTTACTTCACATACACGATATTTAAAAATTAAATTAATTCAATGTAATTTTCTTACGATATATTGTTAAAAAATGAAGCAGTAGAATAGGGTTTCTGTTATTTCAATATTATGGTATATAGAATTCATTTTGCGTTCAAATGTAATTCTTTTAAATATCTCAAAACAAAAGATAATATGACTTTTATCCAATTTTCATAATTAAAGGCACATTTTAAAAATTGAACTATAAAGTCATTTATCGAACGTTGTCCTAATTTGAAATAAGGATTTGGAAGATGTAATGTCTTTTGTACAGTTACAATTAATAACGTATAATCAATTAATTTAAGTTAATGATCATTTTGAAATGAATGATTGAAATGAACTATTTTCGAGTAGAAAATAAGGATGAACGAAAAAAAAACATCCCTTAAACGATGGGTTTTAACAGTTAAGTAAATTTGAATACGCAAACCGATCGATGATTGTTGTTGAACGTTTTTTCCTGATTTTTCAAATTCGCTTAGGTATTTATTGTTTTGTGATGTTAAAATGTGATTAACAATTGTAACAAAAAATAATTTTAAAAAAAGTAAAAATGGAATCTTTACTTACTCTGGAGTAGGATTTCTCCAGCGCTGGGTTCCAGCTCGCGCCATCAGACATCGACTGTCCGACCTAAAAGAAACAAAAAAAAATCTATTAGTTATATATTCAATGAATGAACTATACCATGTTTTACCTATCCCGGTAATTAATATGTAAATGTTTATTATACATTTGGAATAAAATAAAACTCATAGATAAATTTATTCTTGAAATTATCGTACAACGATTATATTTTGTCTGTGATTTGTTAATTCGTAAAAATAGGAATACAATTGTTGTATCATTTTTTCTTTTATGAGACATCATTAGAAATATGACTTTCGTTAATTAGAATGATGAAAATGGCACATTTTTAAATCGTACATTTAAATATAAATTTTTTGGAGAAATTAATTTATACTGTTATGAAAAATAAAAAAAAATATGTTTTTCTAAAAAAAAAGAGAGAAAAAAATATAACATCACTTTTAAAATTCGAAAACGCATGAATGCGTTGATGCTAGGCTACACGGTTTCGTCGTTTCAATTCGTTTAGGAAATTAATTGCAAGCGTTATTTTCATTTCGTTTCTCTCGCATTTACATTTGGGACATGTTGAATTATCGTTTTAAACGACAACACAAAAAAAGAAAAATATATTTATGTTTTTTCACAAATTTACGGTAGTCCAATCCTTTAAAATTTCAAATAATGGTGTATGTTAACATCGTTTTCTTTATATTTTGTATATTTTAATGAAATATTAAAATAATAATATTAAGATATTTTAAATAAATTATATCGATGGATATTAAATGCTTATCCAATATATTTAGAATAATATCAAAATTAGAAAATTTGTAAAAGATTATCATTTAACGAGAAAGAAAACTTTGAAGTTTTAAGAGATGCTAGACAATCAGGTTCAAAGTTATGACACAGATTCGAAGAGTCATAGTGTCAGAAGGTGGAGAGAGAGTTCATTGTCGGTTGAACAAAAGTGACAAAAGACTTTTCTAGACTTATCAAAGAGACTTTTCGAGACTTTCGCATGATGCTGCTTTGAATCAGGTTAAAAGTTGATTCTAAGTATTTCAGATATCCTATCATCTAGTCAAATGCACGTGACTAAACTTTCAATCTTTTCTCATATCTTTGTTTATCTAGAAAATAATATTAAAACCATTTAATGAATTTAACTCAATGATAATTTATTAACAATTTATGTTTCCATAATTATGAAAGTGATATATAAACCATATATCTCTTGTTTCGAGATATTTAAAAAATTACATTTTAATACTAAATAAATTCTATATAATATTGAAATAACAAAAACACTATCCTAATGGTTCATTTTTGAACAATATATCATATGAAAATTACATCGATTTAATTTAATTTAAAATAATGTGGGTGTGAAATAACTCATAAACTCATTCTTTTATTTTTTTTTTTAATTTTCCCTTATCATTAGACCATTTTCATAATTATGGGCACATATATATATTTTCAAGGTATCGTTACTTTATCGAATTATAATAATACGATTTGAAAAAATTAGACCTATCGTTAGATTTTACTTTTTCATTTATTTATGATACTCATAGAAATGACAAATAATAAAACACATTTTTTATTAGCATTTTCATTGAAGACATTCTCTACATTGTAAGAAAAATGTTCCCTTATACGAGTGTGTATATATATTCTACGAACTTAACGAACTATCTGGATTGTCTGGAACACCCCCATGAGAAAAGAAGAAAGTTTTGTAGTATCTGAACCAACTAACACCATTTCCTAAGGGACCCATAACGTAACTGGTCAAGCTCGTAACTTCACGTAAATTCGATACACAGACTTGGTGTCATCGTATATTTATACATCTACCCCTACATTTCATAGCAGTATACTTATGTTTCTTTAGATTTCATTTAAACTGTAACTATTGAGAAAAAGAAATAAAAATAAAAGAATTACGAAATTTTTTTAATTAGAAATAAATTAAAAACAAAAAAAATTGAAAAAGATGCTGCTTTGAATCAGGTTAAAAGTTGATTTTAAGTATTTCAGATATCCAAAGGAAAACAAAAATAGAAAATATATATTATATTATAATATATTATTTTTAAAAATATATTGAAAAATTTTACTTATAATTAACGAAACATCTAATTTTCCAATTGAATATTATTAACGGATAAATGAAAATAGAAATGAATGGGAAATTTATCGCGAAAGAGTTTTTGTTTTGTTTTTTCAGACAAAACTCTTTGACTCGTGTTTATGCGTCCAAATGTTGAAACAATCGTTATCTTAAACGATTATATATATATATATATATATATATATATATATATAAATCAAAGTGAAAATATAAAATATTATATAATAATGTATACATCAGAGAACGTCAACCAATTGACGTTGAGTTCATTAATCGAATGAAAAATTCTTTAATTTAATTACCCATGACGTACGTTCTTTACGCCATTGAAATACTGTGAAGGGTTGACAAGTTAATTATAGTGATCTATTAATATTTCTCATGAATTCAAACAATTTAGTTGAAAATTTGAATATATGAACGTTTCTGCACTTCATTGTGTACATTATTGCAATATTCGCGTGCACGATAAATCCAAGCAACGTTGAATTATTTTCTTCGAAGGAAAAAAAAAGAAAAATAAATAAAGTATGCACAACTCATATATAATAAATTTTAAAATAGAAAAAATTTAAATTTAATTTACGTTACGTCTTTTTTTATTCTCATTTTAATCGAGTTCGAGTTATTTCATTACTAATACTTTTTCAAATTTATCCAATACTATCAAAAAATATCCTGTCTGTGTTGGTATCAACGGTATATTCATTTTATTAACCATAACTAGGATTGTTATTTGACTTTAATGAACTGACGTATATTAATAATCCAAACGTGGAGAGATTTTTAATTTATATTCTAACAAAGACAAATTAATAAAACAAATAATATCCAACGAATTAACAAACAATGATTTATAATATTTTAAAGAATAGTCTACACAAATGTGTTTGTCAATCCTATAAAAAAAAGTGTTTATTAGAATATTCCAATCATTATTTGTATACTTCGCGATAAAATGTATGTTGATACTTATAAATCCGTAAAATGGAATCATAATTCGCGATATTAACCATTTGACTGTATGAACGCATATAGGTATTTGTTTAATGCAAAATATTTGTAAATTTGTTTAATGCAAAATAAGGTAATGTTAGTTTGCGTATTAATTGACATTAGAATGATATTAGATAAAAAAAACTTTAATTATTAAATATACATATAATACAAAATAATTTATTAGTAATTAGCAATTAATGGAAATAAGTGTTACTATAATAATAAACTATTATATTAAAAAAAAATATATAAATATTTTAAATAAATAAGAAGAAGATATAAGAGAAATGAGAAAATATATATACGAATATTATATTCAGAGATTCATTGTAAGATATTATATTAACATATATAATAGATTTAAAAGAACAAGATATAAATATATATTAAAAATAATAAACTATCATACATTTCTACGAAACACTTTACCTAAAAGTATTCACCAATCAAAGAATTAATATCTGGTAAATCAGAAAACAAAAAAAAACAAAAACATACACTTCTAAACGATATGGTAGTATCGAAAGAATTAAAAGTCTCAATAGATGAGTTGAAGAGTTGATCAACTGCAACGACAATTGAAGAAACAGCTGAACAACAGTGTAACAGCCAGTGGGTAATCAGGTAAATCTCGGATAAAGTTTTACACGTAGAAGCATTTCTCATTGGTCCGATGGAAAAAAAAAAGAAAAAGAATCTTTCGAGATCGCATATGACAACCTGGGGTAACGAAGGGTGATAAGGGGTTGGGTGGTGATATGTAGGATCGACCAGTTATGAAGATTTTTCGCAAACTAAGCAATGAATGTTGCCTCGGAAGAGAAAACAGAATAAGAGTTGCAGTTTCAGCTGTAAGCCCTTATATAACCTTCTTTATCTCCACCCCCTTACCTACCTTACCTTCCCAACCCACTCCCACCCCATCCATCCACCTCTTCCACCCTTCATTCACCCCCTCCCCTCTCATCAACAGATCCCTTCCTCCTCTACCCACCCCCTCCTCATACAGCTCCTTGTGCTAAACGTTGTCGACTGCAACGTAGGGCATGGTATCGAATTTGTCGCCCTTTTCCTTTAGCCCTTCTCTTTCTTTTTCTCTGTTTTCTCTTTTCCATTCAAGAGACGTGATTGCAAGTTGCATATTTTATAAGTGCAGCCTCGCAACGTTCCGTGCATTGTGGAGGAGGGGAGGGAAGGAAAGGGGTGGGGGAGAGTTTGGGGTTATGTGTGTGGATAGGGCCTTCTCTCGTGAGCCCTATACATTTGAGGCATATGCATTTTACGACAGGGTTGTCCTCTGTCTGTTTGTCCTGTACGAGACATTACGAACAGTATAGCAATCTTGTACTTTACGGGACAATGAAAACATTTTTATTCCTTTTGTTTTCTTTTGTTTGTTTGTTTGTTTGTTTGTTTGTTTGTTTGTTAGTAATTACTTTTTTTCTTGATCCATTTAAAACTGCACTACTTTTATGATTCTATTTTAAATGAACCCTTTTTCTTTTAGACGAATAAAAATTTTCGTTATTTTCTGAATTATAGATTAAGAAGTACTACCTTTTTTTTGTTTTTTCATTATGATGATCAACCTGATCATCTTAAGTTCTAATAAGTCCTAATAAAAAGATGAAGAAGAAGAAAAAGAAGATTATCATGATCAATTCATGAATAAAAATGTATTATACGTTTAGTTTTAAATTGATGGTTAAATTGATTTAGAATAATTATTTTATTTTGTCTTAACCCATTGACTGCCAGATATATTTAGAGCGTCTTGCTCTGAGTACCAAGGTTTTATTTTAAAGAATATATAAAATTTTTTTAAATATTAAGTTGGTGCGTATGAAATGTTGAATTTTTAAGTGAATATATAATACTACATATCTTTTTATTTAATCAAATTATCTATGTAATACTACAT